TGATAAATTTTGGACCCAATATCTTGGATTGGGCCCAATATTTTGGGCACTTATACCACATGTCTGAACGCAGAATTTCATGGGGATTACGAATTTGATACTGAAAATTAGTGGTCTCATTTAAGAAAACCACTTTTTTCATTGTAGGGCCCAACATTGGGCTCCGGGCCCAATTTTTTTGTTTCAAAGATGTACATCTTTTTGTTTGGAACAACTTTTGTCTTGAACATTTTTTACAAAAATTCGTACTTTTCGAGATATTTGCAAGTTTCCATACTTTTGGAACACCCTGTATATACCTTTATGAGATTGGCAAAGGAATGACTTATTTTATTTTCTTCTCAATCATACATGCATTTTCATTTTTCCAAAGCTGCATCTGGATGAGAGCCAAATAATAACTCAGACAAAAAAAAAAAGGAAAGAAAAAAAAGAGAGCGGGAATCAAATACTGAAGACGATTGTGAATAAGATCGTGTTTTACGAGAATTTAAAAAATGGCCTCCTGCGATGGACCTGACACAATCTTATCTCGCGGTTTGGCTTTGTTTCCGCACTTGCAACCTTATCATTTCATTTTTTCCCCTCTTTTTTTCTAATATTAAATACAAAAAATTCATAAATACATACAGAGAAAAATTTTTATTTTTGGCAAAATTTTTTTGTACCCAACAATTTTATTTAATAGAAATAAAAATTTTATTTTTAATAAATAAAATTTTTGTTCCACCAACAAGAATTTATTTAATACAAATAAATTTCTATTTGTACGCGCCAAAATTTACTTTCAGACAATAAAATTTTTTTCTATCGCCAATAATTTATTTAACGCACAAATAAAAATGTTCTTTTGGCTAAATAAATTTTTTTTGTACCGCCAACAATTTATTTAATACCTACGATTAAAAATTTTTTTATATTTACCAAAATAAAATTTTTGTTGTACCCCCAACAATTTATAAATAAAAATTTTAATTTTTGCCAAATAAAATTATTTTCCTGCCACAAAAAATGTATTTTAATCAAAAAAATAATTATTTATCCCTAAACGACAAAAAGAAATTTAGATAAATTTAAATATAAAGAATTAATTGAAAAAGCAAATAAATTATATTTAGTTAGAATGAAAATTTTTAATTGTAAAATTCACAAGCATCAGAGAATACTGAATTTTCCGATATATTAATAAATGTACTTCTATATTTTAGAATGATAATTTACTTTGAATATTCGACTGATGTCCATTTAGAGATTATTGAAAATGACATTTCGTAATTAATAACAGCGGTATACTTGTTCAGAGTAATGTAAATGGAGTGGTCCAAGATTTCAGTTTATATTCACGAGATTCAAGTTTTGGACAGATCAAAACGACGAGAATGGAAACGTGCGCGATATTCATTACCTACAGTGATTTGCACCACATTGTGTGGATAGCTATTTGCATCACTCTATATTACTGCGATATTACAGGATTATAATAACAATAATATGTCTCTTCAAATTTGATATGTTGGGCACATATTTCAAAACAATATATATATATATATATATATTCCATGAGATTAAGAGAAAGTGAGGCTCACTGAAGATGTGAAATAATAGACAAATGAGAAATTCTAATTCATATGCTGATATAATATAAGCTTCTAAGAATGATAAAGCTAAACATACATAATGCCAATTTATAATGAACCATCTAACCAACACTGAGAAAAATGTTTAGTCAGAGTAACCAAAATTTGGTTGGACCAACAAAAAAATTTTGTTGGTATTTAAGCAACCAAACTATTTGTTTGAGTCAACCAAAAAATTTGGTTGAGTGTTTTTTGTTGGTATAACAAAAATGTTTGGTTAGCTCAACCAAATTTTTTTTGTTAGGTCAACAAAAATGTTTGGTTGATCAAATAAACAGTTTTTTTTGTAAAATTAAAAATTTTATTCTACCTTATTTCTTTTCTTTTTATCTTTTTTATTTATTTCATTATTTATATTTATTATCAAATTTTGGTTAGGACAACAAACGATCATTTGGTTTTTTAGACCAAACTATTTTGTTGTCGTAACCGAATTTTGGTTGAAATTTAAAAATGTTCAACCAAATAATTTTGTTGGCCTAACCAAATGTTTGGTTGAGATAACTCTGCGACTTTGTTTCAGCCAACCAAAATTTGGTTACAAGAACCAAAATTGCCTAATCAAACAATATTGTTGCAATCACTAAATATTTTTTCTCAGTGAAGCTTCGCTTTAAAATTTGCTTTTTTATTTATTCTCAAAAATGAAAAAAATAATTTAAAAAAAACACATTTCTGAAAAAAAAATTGTCGAAGTTCAATGAAGTTAGAAAAATATTTCGTCTCAGCAAACAAAAATTTGGTTGAGCCAACAAAACAATTTTGGTATTTAAACAAAAATATTTGGTTGAATGTTTTTTGTTGACATAACAAAAATGTTTGGTTGGCTCAACTAAATTCTTTTGTTAGGACAACAGAAATGTTTGATTGATCAAACCAACAGTATTTTTGTAAATTTAATTTATTCATAATTTAATGAAATAAAATAAATGTAATATTTTTTTTTTGTGTTAACCAAATTATTTTGTTCTCGTAACAAAATTTTAGAATTTAAAAATGTTCAACCGAATGATTTTGTTGGCCTAACCAAATGTTTGCTTGAGATAACTCTACAACTTTGTTTCAGCCAAACAAAATTTGGTTAGGGAAGACGAGGGCTGTTTGAAATTTACACATTAATAAGCACCAATAACAATCCTATTCAAAAAATTTAACCGAATAATGGTTTTTAAATATTTACAGCGTTATATTATAAAAAAATATTTATATATTTTTTGGTAATTTTACGATTTCATTTAAATGAAATTTTCTAATTTTTAAATTTAAAATAATTTTATTGTAAAATTACAGTACAAGACTTATTTTGTTAAGTCTCATATTATTTAAACTTTAAATCATATAATTTAATTTTAATTTCACTCCTGCGCCACGCAATCCCGGGGCACAGCTTCAAGTAAAGTGGTATAAAAATAAAAGTATTAAATATATTTCAACTTTCTTTTTTTTTAATTAAAGCTGATATGTTACAAAAAGTTGTCTATACATTAACTTTTTTAAAAAAGCAAAAATCAGTGAGTTACATAACAAAGAGTAAAAAGTGCGCCAATTAACCCCGGTCTCCCCTACAACAAAAATCGACTAACTAAACTATTTTGTTGTAAATACAAATTTTTTTCAGTTTACTAATTCGAAGCCAATTTTTAGAAATTTTTCACTCTCAAATTACAAGCAAATTTTTTTGAAATGAAACTATTTTATTTTTGCGGTAAAAACACACACAAAAATACAAAGAAAAATTCAACCGAGACGGGGAAATATTTGGTCATAGGAAAAAAAAAGTTAATAGTAATTACATAGTAATTAGTAAAAATTTGATGATTCTACATTTGAAATAAAAAAGATTTGCCTATATACAAATGAAGAATAAATTTATTATCCGTATAATAAATCTAATTTTCAATGGGGATCAAGGCGCTCTCTTTGTTAAAAATAGGACTCCGATGTAAACCTCGTTACTTATGACGGAATTTTGGAGTAATTTCGCTCAGTGATCCCATTTGCGGTGGAATTTATTATCCCCTTGCATTTCAAGTAAGCCTCAGTATATGCTTCCTTATCGAAATCGTAGCTTTGACCGAATCCGTAACATAGCACGTGGTGGTCCAATCACTGATGCTGATCCTCAAGCAATCTCGAATAAGGGTCAAGTAGGTATATGATAGGTAAAGGATCAGTGACAATTTGCTAACTTGAACATCACGCGCGATTTTTATATAAATTAAATTGGTTTCATATAATATATATGCAAATTTTAATAATCGAATATATATATATATATCAAATTCATAGTTATTATTCTATAATCGAAAATCATCTAGAAATTGTCTGAATTTTAATTAGACAAACGATCTGATTCTGACAAGAGATAATAATTGGATCACGAATGTATAATAATAACATTGTTATCACTCGATATTTTCTATTTAACTAAAGGATCATTTTACTTCTACCGCATATGTTATAATTGAAATGATAATTAAAATTTTACTAACTTATTTCGGATAAAAGAAAAAGTAAATACAAAAATTGAAATTTTAATCCAAAAAAGATGAATATAATCATGATTTGCTTTTTATTACTCGAAAAACAAAAGTAAAAATTAAATTAAAAAAATATTTGTATGTAGAGGAGAACATCATTTTGGTTGGATTACGAAATGTGTATTGTGCATTATTATGGAAATTCAATTTGGAATAATTAGAATACTCATGAAATATGTAATTGCACGAGTAATATTGAATATTATTGTTCTGAACTGAATAAGGTATCTCTACTTGAAAATATAATACAAATGTTATTATGTTACATTCTAATGAAGTGCATGTTTTCGTTCGTATGTATTTGAAAATTCAAACAAATAACAAAATGTTTTTAAATAGACACTTAAATTAGAAGATTTGAATATAAAAGATAAGAAAAAGAAACTTTTTGCAAATTAAATTTTCCCCAAAAATTTTTATGTAATAAATTTTATAATTCACTGAATTTTCATTTAACTGTTAATAAATGTTTATTTAGCAGAATTTAATTTATATTCCACGAAATGCGTTTTGAAATTTTTTTTTCCCCAATTATAAAATGAGAAATTCTGATTAAACCAGCAATTGGTACATAACTCTAAATTTGCCATACCGACAGATGGTAAAGTACCAAACGCAGATAAAGTAGAAAAAGAAATCTTCATTACCGACATTATCGACATTATCACGAAGTGATAATAAAGAAATTCACAATTGAAATCTAACAACGTGACCTTGTCAAGATGTCTCTCGTCACACACATGCTTTCACAAAGGGCGGGATTGGTCTGCTTGAATTGAATGGGAGGCTGGTTCGGCAAGTTTGTTGTTAGACCGGCCGGCACTTGGCGAACGACCGTTGTGTCGCTCGCTTTTACGTCATCGAGGGACGTATTTTCATCTATCTATATATATATTATATATACATATATATACATTATACATAGAAGAAAAATACGCCCAAAAATATGTCGAAACGTGAAGTGAAAATTTTTTTACAAAAACAAATTTCTCAAACGAAAATAATAGATTACTTCAAATAAAGAAGAAATCGCTATAATGATCACGAAATCATTTCGCGCGCAATTTCAATTTCGCGAGTAAAAAAAAAATCAAGTGTATTTATTTTTCAAAAGAGTGGGGGAAAAAAAACCGTGGAGTTTTTGATAGAAAAAAAATGTTGCGCAACCGGTTTTGAGCCTTGGGGATCCTCGGAAGAGGTACCAAAGGACTCTCACTACTGGACCAGTGAAATACGTGCGTGATTATGGTGACATAGCAACATCTATTATTTTTTTTTTTTTTTAATTAATTAATAATATATTGGATAAAAGTGAGTGAATTTTTATTTTTCTGTTATGTGTGAAAGTGTGGTAATATTAAAAAAAAATGCCGTTCGTGATTCGCAAGATAGAGCCTCGTTACGTGTGTCGAGGCCACGTGCCACAAGGTACAACATCCAAGGATTGGCCGGTAGGGGCCGAATTGGAAGCTGTGGCAAATGGAGCACTCACATCGTCCCTAAAACAATTGGCATCACTATTGACAGCGGCTGAGGATATATTCGCTGATTTAACAGCCGAATTAACAGCCGTTGCCGAGAGAAGTGGTAAACTTCGACAAAGATTGGACAAGGTCGAGGAACATCTGAATGCCACTGATCCGAAGAAAATTCCAGTTCGTGAGTACCAGTTTGTCATTATATACCATAATTATCCCTGTGTATAAGAACCACATTCTCCCATTAAGATAATTGACATCAATCAGGATTTTCTTAATGTAAAAAATACGTTCACTTTTTTTCCAATCCTCTCGATTTTAATGAAATAATTCTTTTTTTCTGTAATTATATGCCATTGGTTTTAAATAGGATAGGAAATGGAAAAAATAATAATATTTGTCCTTGAAAAAAAGGGAAATTACCCCAATAAAGATCAAAATTTTGTCACTGAAGAAATATACGAAACTTGATACATAGTGGAAAAAGAAGATCAAACCCTAAAGTTTCATTAAAGGATCGATCCAATGTTTTTTTTTTACCGGGAGATCTAAAGAAATTGGTGTCATCAACATTACAAGGGGGACATACACTCCACCTTCTCTAGACTTCACTTTATCTTCATACTCATTTTCAAGAGAGTGCTTTTGTCTCTCGAGAAAAGAAAAGCGTATCATTGGTAGCTCACAAGAGAAAGAAATTCTTTTTCATCCTAAGAAGAGAGACTAATCCTCATCCTCTGGCAAAACTCGCTTTTTGTGTGTACACTTCGACCACTATATATATATATATATAGTATAGTAGAAACTTGTTCTTTCGTTTCCCACGGTTCGCCAGGTAAACGTTTTTCGTTTCTTTCTATCCGCTCATCTCCAGCTTCTTTTCCGTGCGCGCACTTTGGTCCTCTCAAGTCATATCGAGAAGAAACACTCTTTCACGCTCTGTCGCTTTTTAAGTTCCTTTTTCGCATTTCAAAACAGGCGCAAACGGAAATGAATATTTCAAAAATTATTATGCGATACTAACGAGTGAACAAAAAAAAAACACTTGAGGCTTCAACTTTTGCTTAATGATTAATAATTCTCGGGACGCTAGTCGAGAAAAAAAAAGACCTTTACTTTCTCTTTGACATTGGAATTCAATGTTTTTTTGCAGCAAATTTATGGAGATTTGCATCGTAGAAAAAGAAGAGAGCAATTTCGAGGGAAAAACATTTTTTATTTCGAAGAAAAATCTTTAAAATTTAAAGTGTTTCTCTTTAAATCTGAATCAGTAAAATTTTTTAACTAATTTGAATTAGTGACATGACAATGAATCCTTATACTATTTTTAACTCTACAAAATTTTAGCTCAATCTACACTGAACAAAAAGTATCATTGATTCAAGAATATCATTTACTTGTCCGTATTTGATCCACTAGTTTTCAATTCAAGAAAATTTACTTCACTATAAAACAAAAGGTATTAATTTAATACCGACTTTAGGTACTAATTTGGTTCTATTTTTCTAAAATCGGTAATATTTTTACTACTTTCTTTTTAGTGTTAAAATTTTTTTGAATGAAGAAAATATTGATTCAAATACGAACAAATGGGTTTTTTTCTTGATTCGATTTTTTTTATCAAATAGCGATAAAACCTGTGGAGAATATTTAAATGTGAAAATACAAAAATCACATTAAGAAATTCGTGAGTTTGAAATTAAAGAATTAATTTCCCTTTTGAAAATACTTCGTTTCATTTTACACAAACAAAACTATAAATAACATATTTAATAGTACAGTTTAAAATTGTAAATTCGATATTTCAACATCTTTTATACATATAAATACATTTTTTGATTTTGAAACAAAAAAGATAGTAAAACTATGCCAAGCTCAAATGTTATAAGAAAATACTACAAATATATATACACATATATTTTACATTTCTTATCAAAATGTAAATGTCTCAAGCATATATAAAAGAGATACAAATCAGTTTTCTTGGGAAATGAATTTCATTCAAGAAATACTGTTAAGGATTCTTGAAAAGGAATATATGTTTTTCCACTATAATTAACCGGCAAAGAACGTGACGGGGATAATTGTACGTTTCGCAGACAGTAATTGTAGGCTAAGTACAATGTGACTGAAATACACAATCTGAAATAGAAATTACAGAATTATGGTTTATAGTTACAATATCAAGAAAAGGGAGTTTGTATTAAAACTCTATCAAGAAAATTCCTTTTAAAACAAACCTGCAACATCATTTTTAATTCAAACAAAAATTAATTTGCCGGAAAAAATTAAATCCGAATCTAAATTAGAGGAAGAGACTAACAAAGAAGAAACTAAAAATGTAACTAAAAAAGAAAGTTAAAAAGGAAACTAAAAAATAGAAACCCAAAAAAGAAGGAACTAATAAAGAAAGATAGAAACTAAATAAAAAACGAAAAATAAAATTGAAACTAATTAGATCTATTTTTTTTGCTTTCTAAAAATAAAAGAACATTCAACAGAGGGAAATATCGCTTCCGTAACGAGAGTGATTACAATATGCGGGTTAATTTTCTTCTTGAAGGGAATTTTAAATTGTACTTCGTCAAGCGTGGAAAGATTACCAACTAGCACGTGCGTTAGCATCCGCCAAGTTTCTATATAACTGAAACACGATCTTTTTCCATTTCGATCATATTGTCTTCCGAACTGGACGATGGATATTGCATTACAGTATTATCGTAAACCCTCTCTATATATATATTCGATTTTAAATATTGTACAATGTTATTCCATTGCGTATAAGCCACAAAACAGGAACATAAACTATAAAGTGTAAAGTAAAGCTTAATGCTATGGCTTCCATTGGCAAACAGCTGAGGCTTCGCCAAGAATTTTCACCCTAAGAGGGTTGTCATACACCAACATACATCGAACTTTCAACAAACTATACCTATATCTCGTAAAAGACTGTAACTGTACATTTTTCTTTGAAGACAGCTGACTCCAGGTATATAAAACCCATGGGGATTTCACGCTGCAATGAGAGAGTTTTGCATCCATAGGTTGCGTGTTGGGAAACATTTAAAAAAAGGGCCTCACAAAAATACCGGAAAAAAAAATAGGAATTCCGTCAGAATGGAAAAGAAAAAGCAAAAATTCTATTGTACGATTTCATTCTAAATATACGTGATAACAAGAACTTGATTTTTATCTTACAAAATAGATCCCCAATTCTTACAAAAATTTACCATTCATACTTAAAATCTTGTTCCTTAATAGCATCTTTCTTAGAATTGGATAATTCTAATTTTTATTTATATATTATTTTATTTAATTATTTAAATATTTAAAAAATATTTCCAATTCAAACTATTGTTTTAAGAAAAAAAAATGGAGGAATATTTTTTTGAAAGTTCATTCACGCAAATCCTGCGAACAGGAAAATATTTTGTCTGTTTCGTGATTACGAACAATAAATGACTAAACTAGTACATAAACAAGGCTAATGTAGACCGAAGGAAGTTTAATTAAGTTGGCACTGTTGACGTGGCAAATATTTATTATACATTGAAATAAATTCTAATAAAAGAAAAGAAACCCCATTCTTTTTTTTTTTTTGGTTAATTAATTTCCTCCTCGAATATTTAATATAATTTCCCATCTGTTTTTAAAAGTTATCTCTCTGCCTCAGTATCTCTTCAAACTGGTTATTCAAATGAAATACATTGAAATAAATAATGAAAAAGTATTCATAAATTAAAAATTCATTAATTTTTTTTTTTTTTTGCATTAACGAATATTGAATTTTTTGTGACGCTTTTGAAACTCTACCGAATATGGAAAATTTCACTTTCGAAAAAGAACGAAAGTACAAATTTTGAGAAAAGATAAAGGTATTTACAAAAGAAAAATCAAAGGGAATTTTTTTTGTGTGTTCCTTTGAAAGCAACAAAATTCTTCTTGATGAGATTCGTTTCTACTATATAGTATAATTACATATGATGGGCGGAGATCAAATCATCGTGATGTTATGTGGCGGGGAATTTTAAGCTCTTTTCAAGCATCATTCGAGTTAAGATTTTCTCTTCTCTTTCTCTCTCACGTTTTGTATCAAAAAGCACCTTTCAAATATATACCTCTTGCCGTTAAACTCACTTCACCTGCTGCTATAATTATTTGATGCGCAACGTTGGCGACATGAAAATAACAGTAATTGATATGACTCTCGTATTAATATGTGATTATATATAAATAAATATAAACACGCGGCAAAATGTCAGTTTCCCAAGTATATATATGGTAATCGTCTCATTACAACAGTACTTTAATTTTATCATTATACATATTTTAATCACATAGCCTACTGCGGGAATAGTGTTTCTTTTAATTATTATTTTTATTTTCCAATCAACGCTCACTTTATAATAAACAGTTCATTGTCAAATAAAAATGTCTGCGAGCAAAATTATACATACAAAAATTTTATACTTTGTACGATTTATAAATTATATTTATTAATAAATATTTATAAATGAACCAAATAATTTTTATTTCAATTAAATAATCTGTATTTGGAATTTTGAATCAAATACCATCTCAAATAATAATTAAATAAATATTGCTTTAATAATTTTTTAATATCCTATAATTTGAATTAAATATTTCTTTCGTCAGAAAAAAATAGTTTCCAAAAAAAAGAATCGTATCTAAATTCCAAAAGTCACTTTGTCTTTTGAGGCTTAGGCAATCATTAGTAAAACAAAGGAAAGTATCTCGGACAATATTGAGTCGTAAGATTGAAGTATAGAAATATGGGTCCAAATCTCTCTAAATGTTTCGATAAAGGAGAATTTAGTGCTTATATAAGGGATTTACCATTGTCCCATGAATTTTACGGAGGTTCATATAACCCGTTCTAACTATTGTTTTCTGCCACAGAAAAAACATTTTTTTTTCTCATTATAATTGAAGAATTTATTTTGCTATAAATAGGAAATTGGATATCGAATAAGTCGATTTAATTTCAAGGCTGCCGCAATGGAGTTCAAATGAAAGTACATATTTTGTTAAAAGTCAAACACCACCTACAGCCTTTAATTATAAAGTCTCATGTTTTAGTTATTATCGAACCTTCAGGTAAAATTCACATAACATAAAAATCTAACAATTTAATCGATTTCTTCTTTGTTATTATTTAAT